CTGCTCTGCTCCTTCCCCACCGGCACCTCCCCGGTGTCTCCATCAGCAGACGTGTAGTGCACCATGTATCTATCGATGACGGCCTGCACCGGGTCCCAGGAGACGGTGGCCGTGTTCTCTGTCACCCGGTCGGTCACCAGGTTTGTTGGGCTGTCAATGTCTAAAAGGAAAGTTAAAGCACACCATTAACAAGCACTGAAGAGGGAGACCGTGTTGCTTGAAGGGAGGCAGTTTCCTGGTCTTGTGGTTTTCCCATGTCCTATGTCAGTTTTCAATTGTTTCAGGGACATAGACCTTCTCTCCACAGCTGGCCTCTTGGATCCTCAAAGAGGCAGCACACGACAGCAGGATAAGCACTAGATCCAAGTCAGAAAAGCTGTGGTCCTGCACATCTCAATGGTCTCTGGCTGGGCCTCAGCCTCATCACCTGCAAATCTGGGGTTCAGGTCGGATAGACTTTAATGTTCTTTTGAGCACTAATGTTCCATGCATACATCTAATTTCATAAATTACTAACTTGTTTCATGACCTTGGGCGGCTCACCTCACCTCTATGCATGGATAAAATAGGACTGTTAATAGTTATTGTAAATATTTCACTGGATGGCTCTGAAAACCAAGACAAAAAATACCATGTAAAAAGGGGCCTTGAAAATACTGAAGTATTACAGTGTCTGCAGAATAAAAAAAGCAGGACAAGATATTAGTGTATAGCCTGGAAACTAGCTGTATTAAATGAGTTAACAATACGGCCTTTGTGACAACTCTTGGCACAGAGTAGATGCCCAATGACCATAAGCTATTATTGATATCACCTTGCTGATATTTTATGAGTGAAGAAGATTATGCTCCTCCAAACTATACACAGAGAAGGTATTCAAAAATGCAGTCACCAAGAAAATAACAACATGTCTTTGTTCCAAATAGTTTATTGCAAAAGTCGTTTCCCTAAAGTCTTTGCCTCTAGGTCGTGTCACATATGTGCAATGGTATGTTCAAGCAGGACTCCTCTTATCTTGGTTTGGGCTGTGACTCCAAGAAAACTGGTATCTACATTCCAATCTGAAAGCCCACAGTCAAAGTAGGACCAACAGTCCCGTGGCCCTCAGCTGGCCAAACCATCTCCAGACAATGAAAGAGGTTGGAGAGGCCAAAGGGATGGGACTTCAAGAGTGGATTTCTTTGGGCAGAGTTACACTGAGTTTCATGGGTGAGACCCAAACCTCAAATGGGCAAGTGTTCTCAATCAGAAATGATTGGCAATATCTGGAGACCTACTTGTTGTCACAACTCGGTGTGGGATGCAGAGGCTACTGGAGTCTAATGGGTAGAGGCCAGGGATGCTGTTAAACAGCATACGGTGCCTGAGACCAACCCCTGCAACAAAGATTTCTCCAGCCAAATATCTCACTAGTGCCAAGACTGAGAAACTCTGCCCAACACTTGGGGAACACCGTAGGCTGGTGTCTGACATGTATCTAAAATACCTAAGGGGTGAGAAAATGGCTGTTTGCTCTGATAGAGAGCATTGCAAAAGAACCATGTATCTAGTTGAATGGATTAAAGGATGCCTGCATATGCCCTGCAGACCAGACATGGACCAAGGGAAGAAGAGCCCACCTGGGATTATTTTAGGAGCTGTCCAAGACACTCAGCCAGAGGGGTGAGGTGATGCCACCAGAAAGGCACTGGAGTGCACCCCACATGTGTAGGCAGAGGAAGGGGAGTAGGTGACCAGCAGGAGAGATGCATCTGTCACAGGATCACTATGATGACAGCTCAGAGTGTAAGAGGGTCCCTGAAGAACGCACAGAAGTGCTCCACGAGGGAAACATTAGCTTTAACACTGGTCAGGCCCCATGACAGGCTCAGGGCAGCTGTGAAGGTTATAGTAAAGCAGGACCCCTTACCTCTCCTTCTCCTGACCCCTGGCCTCTCTCCAAGCTGTACCAAACATAAATGGGCCAGAAACTACAGTTAGCATGCTAGAAGGAGGGTGTCTGAAGTATAAGAAGGGAAATACAAGAGCAGTCAAGCAGACCCCCCTTCCCATGGCAGATAGTTAGCCCGCAAATGGCCCACGCCAGTGGAGAGGAGAAGACTTAACTTTAAAAATTTTTTTTTCAACGTTTTTTATTTATTTTTGGGACAGAGAGAGACAGAGCATGAACGGGGGAGGGGCAGAGAGAGAGGGAGACACAGAATCGGAAACAGGCTCCAGGCTCCGAGCCATCAGCCCAGAGCCCGACGCGGGGCTCGAACTCACGGACCGCGAGATCGTGACCTGGCTGAAGTCAGACGCTTAACCGACTGCGCCACCCAGGCGCCCCGAGAAGACTTAACTTTAAATGAAGTATTGATATAGACATTTTAATTACTAAAATGATATGTGTTGAGGACTAAAAATGACGAGATACTTGCTTATTTTTAGCTAATAGAGCATTATTATTATCTCTGCCTAAAACATTCATCCGAAGGGCAGAAATAAAAAACAAGCTCCAAGAAAGGGTTTAAACAGGTGAAGAGGGAAAACAAAGTTGGTTTGGGATCACAGTCCGGCTCCCCCCACATGGAAGGCACTTGTGCTTTCATCCCGTTTAGTCCGTATCAGGTGAGGCACTTCGTGTGTTCACAACACGGAAGACGCACAGGCAGAGAACAAAGGACCACAAGCAATCACATCAATCTTTAAAGACCAAAGTTTGAAGGCCGCAAGATGAGCTGTGCATTCTACGAGAAGCCATCAAATAGAAGTAAGGCATACAATGAACTCTATAAGCACACCATTGCACTCTGTAAAACCTCCCTTTCTGCCAAGGTCACAGAAGGAAAACCAACTGAAACAGACATGAGTTTAGCAGTGACACAGGGATGATGCACGCTCCGTTACCTGTCGGGGCCGTGGTGTCGGCCTTCTTGCCCTCTCGGGTCCCCTTCTGGGCCCACACCTGGACCGTGTACTCCACGCCCGGCCTCAGGCCCGTCAGCACGGCGCTGCTCTGCTCCTTCCCCACCGGCACCTCCCCGGTGTCTCCATCGGCGGACGTGTAGCGCACCATGTACCTGTCGATGACGGCCTGCACCGGGTCCCAGGAGACGGTGGCCGTGTTCTCCGTCACCCGGTCGGTCACCAGGTTTTGGGGGCTGTCAATGTCTTTAAGAGAGATGAAAGAAATGTAACATTTACCAACTCTCTGGTTCCAGAGAGGCCAGCACATACACAGACAAAATGATGATCTCAACAAATTTCAGAATCTGTTATGTGCCAGTGATTGGGATAACTTAAGGGTTTAATTAAGCAAGTGGTCTGAAATTCCAAGAATGAGCTAATAGCATGTAAGGAGACGTAGGGTTTTCAGACAAAGCCAAAACAGTCTCAGCTCTATAAACTTTACCCACAAGTAGACTCTGGATTTTAAAAAAATTGGTCTTCATATGCAAATTTCTCCATTACCCTGGGTTTATATAATACACTCTTTGAGTTCTGATTCCCTGTACCTGAAAGCAATTATACTTCAGTAAATCTCTGCAGTGGCTCTAATATTTTATTTGGGAATAAAAATATCCTGAAAGTAGGAGCTGTTAGTTCTTTCCATATAAAACATTATGCCTACAGCCAGAGCACCAGAAGACTTCAACTGATGGTCTTTGAGGTCTGGGCTGATAAAAAAAAAAATAATCCTACTTGGGTAGGAATCTGTCTGGGTTTCAATACAGTTAAACTGGGTTGGAATCTGGGCACCGTTTCTTAGTTGCTGACTTTGGACAGACTCCAAATTTAAGTCTCCGTCTCCTCATCTCCACAAAGAAGGAAATACCAGTACCTACCTCACAGGTTATGACAAATCACAGATGAGATATTCACATGGAAAAATGCTTGAATATAAGCTCTTTGTTATTACAAGTGTCATTCGAGGCACGAAATTCCCCCCTTTCTCCTTGAAATGTGAACCTCTGAGTCAGAAATCCAAGTAGTTGGGTACATGATTAGCAATGCCTTTATGATCCTGTTTCAAAAACCACTTCCTCAAAATGGCTGAGCTTTCCGTAACAGCAACTGCATCTCAAGCCCGTGCCCCATTGCTCGACATGCATGGCCAGGCCAGTGGGATGGAGCACACAGCCAAGGAGACAACTTGCCTTGAGGAGCAAAGACATACAAGGGGGAGTTTCGTTCTGGGATTCTAAGCTGGCTTTGATGCTGCCGCCCCATCCTTCATGACTCCCCTCTGTCCACCACCAACACCACTTAAGATTGTTAAGAGACTTGCATATTAAAAATAAGACACAACCAGCCCATCCTATCCTTACATCTTATGCCTTATGCTGCCCCCCCCCCCCCCCAGCAGCTGAGGTGCTAACTCACACCACCGCCACCTGAGAGCGGGGAAGATTCTTCTCTATTCCAGCTTCCACCATCTTAAAAAGACTGACCCACAGGCCTCCCTTTCACAACACTCAAAATCCTAGAAAACAGAAAGCCTTGTGTAATATAAACCAGGAGCTGGCAATTTACAACGCATGGGCCAAATCTGACCCACTGCCTATTTTTATAAAGTTTCATTGAACACAGTCATACCAGGTCATTTACATACTCTCCATGGCTGTTTTCACATTTCAATGGCGGAGCTGAATAGTTGTATCAGAGACGGCATGGTCCCCAAAGCTGAAAACATGGACTATCTGGCCCCTCACAGAAAGTCTGCTAGTTTAAACAAATCTAGATCTCACCCTCCTTACTGGCAACTTCTCCTTCCCCTGGAGGAGATAAGGCCCACCTGGACCCAGGAGGCCACATGCCATTAAATACTTCAAGGGCTAGGGGCACCTGGGTGGCTCAGTCCGTTCAGCATACGATTCTTGGTTTCAGCTCAGTTCATGATCCCACAGTTCATAGGTCCAGCCCCCCCCCCCCCCCCCCCCCCCCCCCCAGCCCCCACCACTGCCAGCACAGAGCCTGCTTGGGATTCTCTCTCTCCCTCTCTTTGCCCCTCCTTCACTCACACTGTCTCTGTCTCTCTCAAAATAAACTTTAAACAAACAAACAAACAAACAAATAAATGAAAAAATAACCAAAAACTTCAAGGGCTGTTTGCTGATTAGCATTTGCTATGGACTGAATATTTGTGCTCCCCTCCAACTCCCAGGTTGAAGCCCTAACCACCAATTTGCTGGTATTTGGAGGTAATTAGGTTTAGGTGAGGTCGTGGGGGTGGGTTCCCTATGGTGGCATCAGTGCCTCACAAGAAGAGACCTGAGTTTCTTCTCTCTGCCCTATAAAGGTGTAGGAAGAAGGTAGCCATCTATTAGCCAAGAAGAGGGTTCTCACCAGGAACTGAATCAGCCAGTGCCCAGATCATGGAGCTTTCCAGGCTCCAAGATTGTGAGAAATAAACCTCTTTTGTTTAAGCCCCCAGTCTATGATATTCTGTTATAGCAGCCAGAGAAGACTAAGACATATTCTAAGAAATAATCACTACTACCGCTCACGTAGCCCTTGCTATATGTCGGGCACTTACATGAATTCACTCATGCAACCCTCACAACAACTCTTTGATATAAATACTCATATGCCCCATTTTACAGACAAGAATGAGAGGAACAGAGGTCAGCTGACTTGCCCAAAGTCCCTCAGCTACTAAATGGCAGAGCTGGGATTAAAACTTGGACAGTCAAGCTTCTGAATCCACATTCCTAACTAATTAATGGCTTCTCTGGGCACCTCTGTACTAAGTGACTGTCCAGAATGGAGCCCAGTGAATAAGTAAATCCTTTTCTAGGATTCCTGTCAAGTGTCTGCAACCTCAAGCAGCCTCCAGGATTAGACTGCTCTGGACTCAGGGACAGTACCAGCGGAGGGTTTAAACACAAAGCAGGTGTGGGATACGCTCCCCTGCAGCCTCAGGACATCTGCAAACCCAAGCTGGGCCGAAGGCGGGCTATATTTCACAGCTGGGTGAAATATAGGGACCCGTATGGTTTCTGAAAGCTTAAAGGCAGAATCGGTACATTCGGTGACTGTTGACTCAGGATGCAAACCATTTCCATGGTCTGAAAGAGAGCTCCAGATTAATTTTTTTTTTCAACGTTTTTATTTATTTTTGGGACAGAGAGAGACAGAGCATGAACGGGGGAGGGGCAGAGAGAGAGGGAGACACAGAATCGGAAACAGGCTCCAGGCTCTGAGCCATCAGCCCAGAGCCTGACGTGGGGCTCGAACTCACGGACCGCGAGATCATGACCTGGCTGAAGTCGGACGCTTAACTGACTGCGCCACCCAGGCGCCCCAAGAGAGCTCCAGATTATAAGCAAAGTGCCTGTACAGCCACTGCAAACTGAGATAAGCATTCAAATTCACTGTCAGCCAAATGTTTTGAGTTTTAACGTCCAAAAAAATGAAAATTAGGAAGTGTTACTCTTCTCTGAGAGAGTTGCATATGGAATTCTAACCCAAATAAGTATGACCTTCTGTGTAACGTAAAAAGGCTGGTCTCTTTTGTTTGAAGTTAAAAGGGGAGAAATCATAATTGTGAAATTTGAAATTGCTTTTGCAACCCCCTTCCCCACCCCCGCAAGCAAAAGAGCTGATGCTAGGTGGGCATCGGACTCCTGATTCAAAAATCAGCCTCCTCCCTGCTGTGAGGAAATCTGTTTAGGCTCCCGTTCCTCTGTTACCTGTGAGGGCCTTGGTGTCGGCCTTCTTGCTCTCCTGGCTGCCCCTCTCGGCCCACACGTAGACTCTGTACGCCTCCCCCGGCTTCAGGCCCGTCAGGACGGTGCTGCTCTGCTCCCTGGGCACCGCCATGTCCCTGGTGTCCCCATCAGCAGAGGTGTAGCGCACCACGTACTTGTCTACGACAGCCTGGACTGGGGTCCAGGAGACTACCGCTGTGTCTTCTGTCACTCGGTCGGTGACCACGTTGGTTGGGCTATCGATTTCTTCATAAAAATATACGAGAAAGAAAAGTTAGAGAAGACGTTTGGCTGGCCAAAATCACAGGGGCTTCAAGATCTAGTTCATCCAGGTGACCGAGTTCCATGGTCCATACAATGCAAGAGGGTCTCTCCATCATCTGTGACAGGTGGACAGCTGGAAGAGCTCTACTTGAACTGTAGGCTGAGAAAGGGCTCCCTGATGGACAAAACAATCCCTTCCATTTTGAGACCAATGAGCACGTTAGACAAGACTCCTGCAAATGCAGTCACATGAAATGGAACTCCTTCAAGAGGCATATGGAATACACCTAATGCTTCTTCTAGGAGACCCTCCAGCAGGTGTTCAAGAATAGTAACCATTCTCCTTCCTAACTCTCCTCAAGTCAAAACAGCTTCACCTCTCCAATGTCTGTATTTATAGGTTATTAACTTTTGTATCATTATATCATATCATATCATGCCATACCATATCATATCATATTATACTTTCAAATTACAGTTTCTAGACCTGGCACTTACATCTGGACATGCTTTCTTTCCCTTGATCAAAGAAAAATCCCCAAAACTCAGTCCATTCATTCAACAATTCACTGACCATCCGTTTCATGCCAGGGAATATAATGGCACTCAGGAGTCACCAATGAACAAAACAATCAGAAATCCCTACCTATGCAAGGTTGATGTTCTAGAAGGATGAACCGAGAACAACATACCCCTCCATGTCCTAGACACTGTTCCCTCAATAACATATCTTCAGCCCACAGCCTCAGAAAATCCCTATGCTTTTCAACACGTGTCCCTGCTGACCCAGGGGTTGTCAACATTGGGCACCTCCTCAGTATCACCTGCAGAGAGCTCATTTCAAGTCTCAGATATGCGCTGACATCTTTGCTGAAAAAACAAATAAGCAAGACTCCGCAGGTAATTCTGATGCACAGCCAAGGCTGAGAATCCCACATTGAGCCACATCTTCCCCATTTAAGATGCATATAAAATACATCTCCAGGGGCGCCTGGGTGGTGCAGTCGGTTAAGCGTCCGACTTCAGCCAGGTCACGATCTCGCGGTCCTGAGTTCGAGCCCCGCGTCAGGCTCTGGGCTGATGGCTCAGAGCCTGGAGCCTGTTTCTGATTCTGTGTCTCCCTCTCTCTCTGCCCCTCCCCCGTTCATGCTCTGTCTCTCTCTGTCCCAAAAATAAATAAAAAATAAACGTTGAAAAAAAAAATTAAAAAAAAAAATACATCTCCAATGTTTATTCTTGTTATATTTCACCTTATGGACTTCATTTATAATTTAGTCTTTCACTCAACATGCTGATTTTCCTTTCTAGCTTATCATTTACAAACCTAATAGGTAAGCATCCGAGTGCAGCATCCGTTCAAGGTCACTGATAAGGGCGCTGCACAGAACAAAGCTGACATTTGGTGCCAAGAACCCTCCCCACCTGCAGATCTATACCCTTTTGGGGAAAGACACACGAAACAGGTTCCTCCTCTCAGAAATTTAAGCAGCTTTCCTTCCTCCCCATCCTGCCCTGGTTCTCTTAGCCAAGGGTCCTCCAGCAGAGAAGTTCCGACGCTACAAAGCTGCATTTTTTTCACATCAACTAGGATCAGCTTTCTTGAGCACAATGGCAGTGTCTTCTTTGTGTGCAAGGAAATGAAATATGTTCTGTCACCAGAGACAGTGCATATTTAATAAACCAACTGTCATCAATTGAGTGTATACTAAATGTAAGGTGCTTTTCACACATTACCCTATCAAACCTCATACTAACAACTCAAGGTTGTATCAGATTCCCCATGTACTAATTTTGAACATTAATAATGGTTACCATTTTTAGAGCACTAACCATACATACCAGGCTCAGAGAGGTTAGATAACTTAGCCAAGGTCACTCAGCTAGTAAATGGTAGTCACACATTCTACAAACGTTCCCTGAGTGCCTAGCTGGAGTTGGGAATTCAGTTTAACTCAGTTATTCATTTTCTATTTTTTTTAATTTTTTGTAATGTTTATTTATTTTTTGAGAGAGACAGAGCACGAGCAGGGGAGGGGCAGAGAGAGACAGAGACACGGAGCTGTCAGCACAGAGCCAGACAAGGGGCTCGAACCCACAAACCTTGAGATCATGACCTGAGCCAAAGTCGGATGCTTAACTGACTGAGCCACCCAGGCGCCCCGGTTTAACTCAGTTTTAAATTAAAGTGAGCCTGCCTGGAGCCTGCTTCGGATTCTGTGTCCCCTGTCTCTCCGCCCCTCCCCTGCCCGCACTCTGTCTCTCAAAAATAAATAAACATTAAAAAAAATTTTTAAGTGTGCCCCTCCCCCACCAAAAGCTTAGTCAACGTGCTAACCCTCCGTACCTCAGCATGTGACCTTACTTGGAAATAGGGTCTTTCTAGAGATAATCAGGTCAAAATGAGGTCATTAGAGTGAGCCTAATTCAGTATGACTGGTGTCCTTATGAAAGGGGGAGTTTGGACACACACACACACACACACACACACACACACACACACAGGGAAGATGATATGAAGAAGCCCACCATGTGCCTAGAATGCCGCATCTGTAAGTCACAGATTGACAAGGATTGCCAACAAACAGCTGAAGCTAGAGGGGTGAGGAAGGACTCTCCCCTACAGCTTTCGAAGAGAGAGCGGAGCCCTGCAGGCACCTTGATCTCAGACTTTGCAGCCTCCACAGCAGGGAGACAATAAATTTCTATTGTTTTAAACCACCCGGTCTTTTGGTACTTTGCTACAGCGGCCCTAGGATACGAATACCGTTGACCCCTGAACAATGCAGGAATCAGGCACCTCAATTCTCTTCTGCTCAGTCAAAAATCCACGTGTAACTTTTGACTCATGAAAAACTTAATAGCCTGCTGTTGACCAGAAGGCTTACTGATAACACGAACATTCAAGTAACACATATTTTGTATGTTGTATCATATACTGTATTCTTCCAATGATACCTACTTTCCCTTAATTTTTTCAGGATTTCTAGGCTATATTTCTAAACTTTGTCTGAGTTTTTCCAAAGTGTCATGAATCTCATAAAACTTTTCCAGTATATTTATTGAAAAAAAGCTACACATAAGTGGACTGGTGCAGTTCAAATCCATGTTAAGGGCCAACTGTCTAAGCAATGAACAGAATAAAGACTCTCTGCTATGGAACTTACATTTTCCTCAAGGAGACAGACGATAAACAAGATGTGATAGTATTAGGAAGCCCAATGAGGCAAGATATAGGGTTAGAAAATGCCGAGCAAAAGCGGTTTGTGAGCTTAGACAGGGAGGTCAGGAAAGAGCCATCTCACTGGGAAGGTAACATTTGAACAAAGACCTAAACGAAATGAGGCAGCGGGCATGTACTGTCTGGGCACCTCATTCCACACAGAAGGAGCAAGTCCAAAGGCCCTGCTCCACATAGCCAGGGAAAAGCAACAGGACAGAGTCAGTGAGGGGCTGAGTGGCTGGAGGTGAGTCCAGGGAGGTAAGGGGCGAGTGGACCGTGGATGGCGTCCAAGGCCACTATAATGACTGTGGCTTTTGCACTGAATGAGATAAGAAGCCCCTGGGGGTTTTGCACAGAAGAATGGCATGATCTGACCTAAATTATCAAAGGGTCCCTCTGGCTGCCAGAGAGAGTACAGGCTATAGTAGGTCAAGAGTAGAGGTCACCTGGGAGGCTGTCCCAACAGTGTGAGAGAAGACAGGAATGTGAACCAGTGTGGCAGGGATGAAGTCACGAGAAAGGCTGCACTCGGGAGATTTCAAATGTAAACCTGTCAGAATCTGCCGATGGGGCTGATGTGGGATACAAATCCACCCTTCCATCCATCCATGTTGATTTGAGACCCGAACGATTTGCAGAATGGGGTGACCATTTACAGAGATGGACAGATCTGAGGGAGGGCAGGGTTTTCAGGAGAGGGCGGGGAGAATGGGACCAGGAATCTGCACCCGGACACTTTAAGTGGGAGAGCCCAGCTGTGAACCATTCCTATCTGCCGAAGACCCTGCCTGATACCACTGTGTCTCAGCAGCATTATCGTCAGCCTTTTCTCATGGAAATAATCACAATAAATAAATAGCATCAAGTGTGATCTGGAAGGTTCCTGCCATCTGAATCCATACGCAGCAGGGGACTGGAGCTTGCAGTGACAGCTGGAAACAGTCTCCTACGGTTGCTCTTAGGAGACTGGCTGGGCAGACGTCACAGCAGAGAGCGGTGAAGTCAGGAGCAGACAGTGACAGGGCCTTGTCCCGGGCCTCTGCAGACTTGAGCAGGTTCTAAGAGGATGCTCAAGGGAAAGTGAGCACAAGAGAGAGAACTCGGTCCCCACCCTGGTCCCCCTTTTCTGTGCAAAGCATGATTCTGCACATGACAGGGAAGGAATGAAAAGAGCCTCCGAAGGTGACCCCTCCATCTGGGAAAATCTTGGTAGGTCGACCTTTCACTTGCATGTGTGGGGAGCCCCACTTTGGGGTTGCCTGGGTGGCTTAGTCAGTTAGGCATCCGACTTCGGCTCAGGGCATGATCTCACACTTTGTGAGTTCGAGCCCCAAGTCGGGCTCTGTGCGGAGAGCACAGAGCCTGGAGCCTGCTTGGGATTCTGTGTCTCCCTCCCTCTGCCCCTCCCCTGCTTGTGCTCTCTCAAAAATAAACATAAAAAGTTTAATAAAAAATAAAAATAAAAATGGGGAGCCCCACTCCAGAAGATCTAACCTACAAAACTGAGTATACAGAAGAAGCTAATTAAGAGCTCTAGGCTCAGCAGGAAAGTTTATTCCACTTGGGGTAGGGCATGGCGTGCTCAGTCTCTGCTCAAACACCAACCTCACATGTCCCTGTTCCAGCCCACGGCAACAGGCATTAGCACTGACTCAGGAATGGGGACATTTAGAATGGAAAGTGAGGACGGGGGAAAAGAGCAAGGACACCCTGACAGTCCTGCCTCTTAAAGTCCCTGGTCCTCATCCTCTCCAAAGTGACC